TTCAAATCGCTTACAAAGCTATTTATTGCACCCTGAAAGCTCCGATTTCATCATGATTTGATTCACCTAAATTTTTTCAATGCATCCTTAGATTCCTACATTTACCAAGATTCAATTCACTTACAAACTCTTGAGAAATGATTCAGTGCAACATGAAATAAAAGTGCTTCACCCTGATTTGATTCACTAATGAATGATTCACTGCATCATAAATGCTTACATTTCATTCTGAAGGTTTGGATTTTTTTTTTTTTAAATACATAAACTACTGACAAACTACTTTCACACTAGTGGAATAATAATAATAATAATAATAATAATAATAATAAAAATAATAATAATACACTGAGCTTTAACTTTGATCATTACACCTGCAATAAGTCTGAAGTGTTTGGATCTTTTTAAATATGATTGATAATAATAATTATAATACTCTGAATGATGCTGAATCACCACCTTCAGATTCTTACAGCCCACAGTCACTGTTCTTTCTGCTCCTTTAGCTGTTTTGGGACCTGTGTGTTTGACCCTTCAGCCCCAGTCCTCTCCTTTAGCGCTGATTTGAGTCCAGTGGCGGTCAGCTCAGAGTTCAGTAGTAAAACTAATCTGTGAGCCGAGCCCCTCTGGCCGCGCTGCAGACGCTACGTGACCAGGATTGATGAGAGCTTATCGTTCTGCAGGAAACTAAAGCCCAGTTCGGGTTACAGCTTCTCGTGTTTTATCAAAAGCATCCGTGTTATTTTTCAAACTTTGGGGAAAAGTAAATGCCCCTGTGACCGGCCTTTCAAATGAACACGGTCAGTCCCGTCTGACCACAACTTCAGAAGACCGAAGATACAGGAAGTTGTGCTCTTTCCTGTCTCCCTTCACGTTTGAAATGTTTGGCTTGTGTGATGAGACTTTGCTGTCAAATCAGAGGAAGTTCATCATAACACAGAAAGACTGAGAGAGAAAACACAGAAACAGAATTCACTCCACACTCGAAGATAACCACCACAAGAAGAACGTTTTTGGAAAGATGCTACAGAGGAACCAATTTTGGAGCCCTAAAGAACCTTTCGACAGGCAGCTCTTTAAAGAACTATGTTTATGTGATGGTAAATAACCCTTTTAAAAGTTTCCACATAATGTAAAGGTTCTACACCAACTAACGGTTCTTCCCAGAACCGTACAGCCAAGCCAAGAACCACTGAGGAACCTTTATTTCTAAAGAAAAACAAATAAGGCGTTGAAAATTCCCTTTTGCAGAAACATCAAGTTCTGTCTTTCTACCACAACACTGGGGAGAACAGGCTGAAGCTGTCATGCACTGTTGGATATTTAGAAAGCACACAAAGGGTTCTTTAGAGCGATGCTGTAAGAGAACCACTTTTGGTTCCCTAACGAACCTTTCAGGTTCAGTAAAGAACCATTTTGTGTAAAATGACCGGTTACTTTCTTGGGGCAGTCGTGGGCTGGAGGTTAGAGAACCAGCCTTGTGACCGGAAGGTCGTTGGTTCGATCCCCTGAGCCGACAGTATGTGACTGAGGTGCCCTTGAGCAAGACACCTAACCCCCAACTGCTCCCCGGGCACTGTGGATAGGGCTGCCCGTCGCTCTGGGCAAGTGTGTTCACTGCCCCCTAGTGTGTGTGTGGATTAAATGCGGCGGTGAAATTTCCCCATTGTGGGATTAATAAAGACTAACTTTAACTTTTTCAGCTGAAGTTTTTGCACTTTTTACTCTTTTGGTGAAAAACAGAAAATGCACTTTTGATCACTTCCAAACGGAAATATTTGGGGGCCGAAATCCCTAAATTATAAGGTTGCGCCGCTCAGCTGCCCTTCAAACTGAGTATTTCATAACGGACAGCTGGAAACGATCCAAAACCTGTAATAAATCATGGTAATTCAATGCAGAATAAATGAACAATTTCTTTATGTTAAGTTACCTTTTCAGAGCTGCTGTGACGACAAGCACACAGGATGTGATGGATTCAGTCACAGACAAACTAAAACTCGAAATAAAAGCTCATGCTCATTTAGATTCCGCCTCTGAGTCAGAAGGACAGGAAAAAAAAAACAGAAAAAAGGGAGATATTGAAGTTCACAGACGGTCCGCTTGCTCCCTCACTATTGAGGGATTACTCAATAAAAGAAGCGGGCCTTAACGGACATCGCTGGAGACCCTCATACAGGCAGCCGAGCGGACTTTTAAACCCGCCATATAATTCATCTCTTTAAAAAAAGAAATCTCCATTTCTCTCCTCTCGCACGGAGCGGCGGCCCCCCAGATCTATTATTTCCAGTTATCTGAAAATAATTCCTGTCCTTTTAGCCCTTCAGTAATTCATCTCTGGAATGGCTCTGTCACGTCTCCTGGACTGTGCTGGAGGATATTAACTGCTCTTCTTCATCTCAGCTCTCTCAGACCCCCCAACACAGCGCCGGCCCTCCCGGGTCACGGCCACCTCCGGGCTTCAAAAGACACTTCGCAGGTTACCCATAAAACAAAACGGATTAGCCTGCCGACATTTCCACGCCAAACCCATCCGCAGCCGAGCCCTCGTTACTCTCCACAGCTTTTCTTCTGAAGCTTCGCAAGGTAAACGGAGCTGAGGTCACCCTTTCCTCACTGTCGCACCGTCCGAAAGCTGGTCAAGAGGATAACCTCGAAGAGCGAAATGGACGCGTCTGTTTCTACGCCTCGTCAGGACGTGCGGCATTTATACATGCAGTTATATGCGAAAGTTTGGGCGCCCCTGGTTTATTAACACTGGTTATGGTTGGTTCTGCTGATTTTCCAAGCGACGATAAGTGAACGCATCCTCTCCGGCCTGTACGAGAGTATTTGCACAGGCCCTTTTTTTGCATTTATCCCCCCAAAATGTTAAATAAACAGCAAATAAACCGTAATTGTGCATTAAAATGTGCAGAAGTTTGTCTCTGTAGAAGATGTGTAACTTACTTTCACTTAGAAAATCAACACAACACGTCATTTGACCAGGAGAACCCAAACTTGCATACAACTGTATATGAGTACTTATGTGTAATAATAACAGGCTCCATGTGTTTTGTATATATGTATGTAATAATGATAATATTATTCACTACCAATAATTAATTCGTTTAAGTTTTGGGCTCTAGCTTATGACATTTCAATCTACACTGCGTGAGTTATTACTCTATGTTTTAAATGACATTTTTTAATATAAATCTGAGTATAAAAACAGGGCAAACCATCCATTTAACCATTTAGCTATGCAGAAACATTGAATTTATCACACAGAAGTTCAGCAGAACTCCCTAAGACTGATAACGGACTAATAAGGCTGCAGTTTTAAGCCAATTTACAATAACAGACGTTATGAATAATGTCATTTTTAGAGAACACAACCCTCCCTGAACACATGATGTCCCTCAAAGGGGAGTTTTGTAGATTTTAACTTGCAACTGTATGAGTACTTATGTGTAATAATAACAGGCTCCATGTGTTTTGTATATATGTATGTAATAATGATATAATGATAATATTATTCACTACCATTTAAAAGTTTGGAATCACTGATTTTACTCATATAAAAAATCTTTTGAAGATGCACGTATAAAATATTTATAATATAAAATATTTATACGATGAAACTCATAAGTTTCGAACAGTTTGTAGGAGGCTGTAAAAAGTGTTTACGACAAACAGAGCTTTAAGTGATTTCATGATAAGTGAAAAATCTTTGAGAATGAACATAAACAACATGACATCCAGAATGCCGACGATCAAAACTCGCTAATTTATAGTATTTACAGTATTTCACAGTATTTTTGTGACAAGAAATTCCAATAAACAGACAATCACAGGCTGTTATTTAATATCACCTCTATATTTCTTATCACTTCCAAAATTATGTTGTTTCTAAAGCACTTTACACTGAATAATTCATTCGTTTAAGTTTTGGGCTCTAGCTTATGACATTTCAATCTACACTGCGTGAGTCATTACTGAATGACTGTTATTAGTACGACAAGTGAGTCTAAACTTTTGAACGGTACTGCATGTATGACATTTACTGAACTAGAGGGGAGCACGATCTACATTTTGTCTGTTTTTAATAAATAAGTTAAATATTTTTTTTTAAGTATTTAAGAAAGATTTTTTAATATGCAAACAACCTACAAGTCTCAGCTACAAATCAAAACATAAGCTTTGTTTCCAGCACCATTTATAACCAATTCAGCCAAAAGCAGACGGGGCACCGCTAACAGTCGCAACAACGTCTAGTAAATCTACACAAAACAGAATTAATTCAGTGCAATTCTACGTTGTTTGAACCTGACGAGCTTTCCAACCCTGCTGCATTAAAAAATTAAAGCACAAAAATAAATATGAATAGTTAAAAGAGTCTGATATATGAATGTGATCGAGCTACAGTTTATTTACTTTATGGTTTATAAATCTCTCCGTTTTAAATGACATTTTTTAATATAAATCTGAGCATAAAAACAGGGCAAACCATCCATTTAACCATTTAGCTATGCAGAAACATTGAATTTATCACACAGAAGTTCAGCAGAACTCCCTCAGACTGATAACGGACTAATAAGGCTGCAGTTTTAAGCCAATTTACAATAACAGACGTTATGAATAATGTCATTTTTAGAGAACACAACCCTCCCTGAACACATGACGTGCCTCAAAGGGGAGTTCCATAGATTTTAACTTGGAAAAAACTAGCTACATTAATACACGCTGTGGCTCCTGAGTCGGGTGTCTGTTTAGTGATCTGGGCTGAAGTCATATGATATTAAGTTATGATCTTCAGAAGCATCTTTCCAAACGAAAAAGATGGATTTCTCAGGCTCTGACTGATCCATGTGGACCACTGTGACTGTGTGGGTTTGCACAGAGCTGAGAGGTCTGAAAGCAGTCAGACAGGAAGGCAGTGAAGCCCTGCTTTGAGCTGCTGTCACTGTGACGCAGGCTGCTCCGAGAGCCGAGCAGGAGAGTGTCAGTTTATCAGCACTCACCGGAGGCGTTCTTCAGGTAGCCATTAGAGTCCACCGAGGTGTACATGACATACGGGCCAGGCTGATTCACGCCGAACGGCTGCGGGGAGGAACACACACACACACATACACATATCAGCATGAGCACACACAGGAAGCACTAACACATTTAGGCCCAAACTATTCCCTCTGATTTTATGCACATTATTATATAAATCTGTTTATATAATATCTAGAGCTGCTGTTTTGATTATAGTCTACATTATCAACACCACATTAAGAGTTTAGTAGGGAAACCCAATAAAACCGAGCTCATCAACTGTGCGTTGAAAATCCACAGATACAGTTTATTGTCACAATCATTTGCAGGTAAATAAACCAGTCTAGTCTTCTAGGCCGGCAGCTCATCACAAACAGGCTCCCTTGTATTCAAACGTTCTAGAAAGTGAGGAGTCCTCAAACTTTCCACAGACAGCCTTAAGTCTGTGAGAACTTCAGCTCATGTTCTGCCAGATTCTGTCACTTTTCTCACTGGCCCGGTTGAGCGTTCCTGATCCCGGAGATCCCGGAGATCACAGAGATCCAGCTACATAAGCCAGCTCACAGCTTAGAGCTGTCAGAAGGCTTGGACTGCGACAGACTTCTCCAAACTAGAGCACAGCTAACACAAAAACTCTCAACAATACAGACTCTAAGAAAAATTCCAATAATTATTCCAACAAAATGTTTTTAAAAATAACGCTTAAATAATTGATATGACTGTCAACGGACTAATGTGTGTCAGATCTTACATTGTGCAAACTCAAACAGCAGAAATTCAGAAATAGTTAAATTAAATAGTATGAATATTAAAATTAATGTATAAATAACCCTGAAACTGAACAAAACAGCTGGATAACATGACGTTTCTCATCTCATCTCTGAGTGTAGGTTCCTTATGCAACCTTGTGCAGAATAAAGACTGTTAAAGATCATTAAATATATTTATCTGGGCTGTTTTGTTTACCATTTTTGCCAGTAAAATCACAAAATAACATCAGATAAATATAGACAAACATAAACACAGTAAAGTGTAAGAAGAATGTGTTCATTAGTAAAGTTATGAAGATGCAGGTTGGATGAACATCCAGGAACACAGGTTTGACAGATAAACTAGGTGTTGGATGGTGAGTGTAAATGCTGGACTTCCTCCAGCGAAGCTTTGGAAATGGTTAAGTGACACCATTAGAACTCATTTGCATTTAATGTCCAGTGTTTTTTTTTTTTGGAACAAATAATTCCCCCATTAAGACGTTTAAAAAGATGTTACTGTCAGTATTTTATCAGTGGGACTTTTGTTAATATCAATAAATTTGTGGAACCTTATTATCAGGCAAACGACACACATCGATCAGACATTACATTCTGACCACCTCCTTGTTTCTACGCTCATTGTCCATTTTATCACTTACTATATAGGTGCACTTTGTAGTTCTACAGTTACAGACTGTAGTCCATCTGTTTCTCTGCATACTTTGTTAGCCCCCTTTTACCCTGTTCTTCAGTGGTCAGGACCCCCATGGACCCTCACAGAGCAGGTACTATTTGGGTGGTGGATCATTCTCAGCACTGCAGTAACACTGACGTGGTGGTGGTGTGTTAGTGTGTGTTGTGCTGGTCTGAGTGGATCAGACACAGCAGTGCTGCTGGAGTGTTTAAACACTGTGTCCACTCACTGTCCACTCTATTAGACACTCCTACCTTGACGGTCCACCTTGTAGATGTAAAGTCAGAGACGATAGCTCATCTGCTGCTGCACAGTTTGTGTTGGTCATCCTCTAGTCCTTCATCAGTGGTCACAGGACGCTGCCCACAGGACGCTGTTGGCTGGATATTTTTGGTTGGTGGACTATTCTCAGTCCAGCAGTGACACTGAGGTGTTTAAAAACTCCAGCAGCACTGCTGTGTCTGATCCACTCAGACCAGCACAACACACACTAACACACCACCACCACGTCAGTGTTACTGCAGTGCTGAGAATGATCCACCACCCAAATAGTACCTGCTCTGTGAGGGTCCATGGGGGTCCTGACCACTGAAGAACAGGGTAAAAGGGGGCTAACAAAGTATCAGAGAAACAGATGGACTACAGTCTGTAACTGTAGAACTACAAAGTGCACCTATATAGTAAGTGGAGCTGATAAAATGGACAACGAGCGTAGAAACAATGAGGTGGTCAGAATGTTATGCCTGATCGGTGTACAGTAATGTTCAAAAAGACTCATTTATCAATTAGTATTTTAGTAATTAGTATCATTAATAATATTATAATAATATAAGAATGGAAAAGACACACAAAATACAAAGAAAGGATATTACAACCAGGAGTCGTAACAACAGTAACTTCAATGAGAATTTAAATATTATAAAGTTTTTACTGAAAGGTTTTTCAGGTCTTTAGGTCATTATTTCAAATTCTAAGAACAATAAACATTTAAATGGTAAATAAACCTGTGTTGTCTATTTATTGCAAATTGTCTATATTTATATATTTTGTCAAGGTATTCTTCGAAATATGAAATATGATGAATTCTGAAAGTATATCAGTCATTCCAGTATCATCTACCGGTCTGTTCATCACTCTGTACACATTTAACACGTCTTCCTTTTATTAATTTTTCATAAAATCTCCCCAGGAATAACTTGTCAGCTGTGACGTTGAACAGGATGAGCATACTAAGCATCCAAAAAACGAAAAAACCCAAGTATCTCCAAAATGGTAACTTCACCATAGAGGCCAAAAAGGTTCTTTTAATGTAAGATAATGTAAAAATATTTTAGTCTAAGTAATTTCGGGGGCATTTCTGTTGGTCCATTCATCATGAAACTTTACATAACATAAAGGGCAGCTGCTGAGCTCAAATGATGGAAAAAAAACAATTTGGACAGTGACGACGTCAGGGTCATTTTACACACTCATCTGCAGTCAAATAGGTTTTATATTGTAGAAAACATGAAATAAAAATTTTGAGCAGTAATGAATCTCAGTCAGGTCCTAAACATCTGAAGAAAGCCTCCATAAAAGCCTCAGTTACGCATTCCACCTACCACACAGACACTAATCCAAGCTAACACTAATGGGCAGCACAGCCTGGAAGAGCAGGAATGAATTTTTAAAGGTGAGTGTGTGTGTGTTACTGTGTGTGTGTTACTGTGTGTGTGTTAGTGTGTGTGTGTTAGTGTGTGTGTGTATGCGGGGGAGTGCTGGTAGAGATTGCAGCATGCAGCGTTGGTGTGACACGCAGAGAAGCAGTAAAGAAAGTTACACATAGAGAATTTGGCCCAGTCCCATTCCTTATTTTCGCCCCTACCCCTTGTTTTCGAGTGTTGCCCCTTGTAACTGAGTTACAGGGTAGTGGTTGAAATCTTCCCTCTGAAATGGGACCCTCAAATAAAAAGAGCATCACTTCATTAACAGCTACCAGCGCTGCTCTGTAGGCGACCCTGCCAGTCTGCAGTGACAGCAGAGGAGGGTAAAGTTCAGCTCCTCACTGCTGGGCTTTAGTTACATTTAGGGCATCATATGATCTTCAAAGAGGGGGGCAATTATTTATTATCACCCACCCCTAATTCTTCAGTGATATGAAGCTGAAGTCAGATATTCACCAGATTCTTGTTAGAATTTTCCCGTTCCACCTTAAATGGAGCAGAATTTACATGCTGGCGCTTCAGCCATCAGAACTGCTGGGCTATTTAAGGTGGAACGGGAAAGTTAGCTAGCAAGCTACTGAGACATTAGCATGCTAATAGTGATTTTTTATGCTTGTTATGAAGAAAATGACCAAAATACACTGAAATGACATTAAATCAAGATAAAATAATGGTTACTGTAAATTTTTAACAGAGAAAATTCTCACATTTGAGTGTTTCTTTGGTCTCTTGTTCAGCCATCTTACCGGTTTTTCTTTTTTCCCATAACTCTCTGTTTGGAGTCTCTGAAAAACCTCCGTTTGGAGGGTCATGTAGCCCCAACACTTCACCCCACCCCTCTATCCCAACAAGAATCAGGACACCCTACTCCTAGACGTGAACACGCAAAACAGAGGGGTAGGGCTGAGTGGTAGGGGGCGAGGGGTGAAATGGGATTAGGCCTAAATGTGCTTTAGAGCTCCACTAGTCTGTATAACACAGTGTAGGCTAAACACCAGAGCTTAGAGCGAACCCTTCTAAACCCTCCTGTTATCTTCAAATTTACTCCCATCCTTTACCCTCGGGGTCAGTTTGACCCCAGCAGTTTAAACTGGTGTGAACTATCAGTGGTTCTTACACTGTCACAGGTGTGATTATGTTAGTTTAGGGTTCTAAATCAGAGGGAAGCCAAAGATTCTAAAATTGCATGTTATACTGACCTTGATATGATCCAAAACAACCCAAATGTGTGTAAGCGTTGATATCTGTACGGAGCCCCGCTGGTGACATCCTGTATAAGTAAAAATAATGTGTGGCCAAGCTGTAGTAACGTGTGGGAACGAGACTTAGTAAGGTGTGGGAACGAGATCATGCCTTACTAAGTCGTGACCACACATTATTTCTGTTTATACAGGATGTCACCAGTCTTTATATTTCTTATATAGAAAAGCTCGAACTTTAGTGACATTTCATAAATAATATAAAGCTGCTTTAGTGACTGTTTACATGCAGATGAAACAGAGCTCAGAGTCTAAGATCACACCCAGGATTCTACTGCAGGTTTGGTAGATGAAGCTAAAGAACTGAGTTTCTCATAAAGCAGCTTTCTCTGAGTTTCCGTACCAACGTTTTTTTTCGTGATTTAATTGTAGAAAATTTTGCGACATCCACTGAAAAATATCTGACACACAGCTGGTCAGTCTGTCTGCAGCGTCTTGATCATCAGAAGAAATGGAAATGTACAACCGTGTTATCAGCATAGCTATGAAAACTACGTTTCCTAATGACATCACCTAGAGGTACAAAGAGAAAAGCAAAGGCCCTAAAACTGAACCTTGAGGGACTCCACAAGAAAGGCCAAACCTTTTTGATGAATGATTTCGATTTCCAAGTGAAACCATGAATTGTCTATTGTGATTTAAACCAACCCGGCATTCAAGACACTGGATTAAAAAGTGTACAGGATACTGAAAACACGTCATATATGTTAATTGCAACATATGTTAATTTTACGTTTATCCAGTGGTCCCCATTAAAGTAGGGAAAAGTCGTTAAATTTGAAGCAAATAATGATGTCAATCATTCATTTAGAGATGTTGAACACTGAATGGGGTCACATGGACCCCAAAGATCAGGTTAAGGAGACACTTTGGTGAAAAATCAGTTTACTGCCATCTCACCCCAAATGTAGACGATCAGCGAAGACACGTTTGGTGTCTAAATAGTATCAATACATGGAATAATAATCTTACATATGTCAGTGTTTATTTAAGCATTTGGAAGCCTCTCCTTTAGGATTAGCCAAACCAAGGAGACCTGGTTTGGCTAATCAATACCTCATTAAATTAAATTTAAAAAATGGACATTTCCATAGAATGACTCCATCCATCATCTAAACCGCTTATCCTTCTGGGTCGCGGTGGGGTGCTGGAGCCTATCCCAGCTGTCATTGGGCGGAAGGCAGGATACACCCTGGACAGGTCGCCAGTCCATCGCAGGGCAGACAGACAGACATACACAGTCACACCTAGGGGCAAACTCCACACAGAAATGACCCTGGTCACCCGGCCGGGAATCGAACCCAGGCCCTTCTTGCTGTGAGGCGACAGCGCTACCCACTGCGCCACCGTGCCGCCCATAGAATGACTCATTTATATATATATATAAATGATATCTGAATCCAAGCAATACATTTCAAGCTGTAAGTCTGTTAGTCAGGCAGAGCCATTTAACCTGACCTTCACTACTTCTACCAATAACACTACATTTCCCTGCTCGTGTCACATAAAGGTTACAGGTGCATAAAGATGAGTGTTGCCGTTCGCCGCCGTGTTCGCTCTTTAAAAGCTGAGCGTAAATCCTGTTTCTCAGACTTTCATCTGATGAAGTCTGTTCAGGCTGAAATGTCAGGACGATTTTCATCTGAAGAGTAAATAAAGAGGTTTTAGAAAGGGTGAAATGTCAGTGTTTTCCTGCTGCTCTGAGATGCAGATCACAGTGTGTCGTACAGCATCGGAGACCACAGGAGATACTGAACACCACACAGTCTGAGGCGAGTGCGGTGATTAAGGCCTGGTTAATTGGTGGGGTCTTTCCTTTACTTGTTAGCTGTATGAGCCACGCAGCACCACGGCTAAACTACGGACGCAAACTCACCACGCTTGTCCTGGCTGACTGACCGACCTGCGGTAAGGGGGGGGCCAGTATATTTGGCTGAACTATGGCTTTAAAAGCCCTCAGTGTGGGAGTATCAGTGTTTGATGGTGCTGTAGCTGTTTTATCTCTTCATTAAAGGAGATGACAGCTAATGAAGCGAGGTGTACGTGTTTTGTTCACTGTGCTGACGACGAGCTGTCAGTCTGTCAGATCCTGAGTCCGATAACCTGCACAGGCACCGGCTTAAAGGCATAACAGAGCACAAACCACAGCTACGCTCGGCACTGCACTGCAGTGAGGTTTCAGAATTGATCCTGTTTGGTATCAGACAACAAACTCTACACTAAAGGATGAGCTATAAGGTAAAAAGTGAACTAAACTACGCTATTAACGTTAGCTGAGGCGACACTCAGCCAATCTGTTTATCTTAAAGGGCCCACGTCCCACATTTTTCTAGCATTTTATTGATCTGATTTTATTTGAAGTTCACTTATGTGGTTTTATAAACCAAAATCAGTCGTAATTCATTTTTATAACAATTTTCCAACCTTGCTTTATCCCTTAGAACTGTTTTGGGTTCTGTGCCTTAAAGAATGATATAGGCAAATGAAGGACAGACTGAGAGAGGGAGAGTGACAAAGTCAAAGTGAAAGAGTTATAAAGGAAGGGAGAGGTAGAGAGAGTGAGATAAAGAGAAGCACAGGGATAGAGAGGGAGACAGAAAGTGATACAGGGATAGATAATGTTAGAGAGAGTGATACAGGGATAGAGATGAGAGAGAGAGAGTGATGCAGGGATAGAAAGGGAGAGAGAGAGTGATATAAGGATAGAGAGGAGAGCGAGTGATACAGGCATACAGAGTGATAGAGAGAGTGATGGACAGAAATCAGAGTGAGTGATGATGTATGAGAGAGACAGAAGGGTCGACAGATAGAGGGATAGAGAGATGGCTAAAGGACAGAGTGATGTTGACGGGTGAGTGAATGTGACAGAGGAAGAGGGTCCGACTGAAGACATCAAACCCCCCCCCAACAAACACACAGTCATAACAGAGGAACACACAGAAAGACAGGATGATATTAAGAGTGACGGACGAAGAGAGAAATACACTTACCTTCACTTTCTCAGGACAGTCATTAGAGCAGAGCCCACTGAGCACTGAGAGAGAGAGAGAGAGAGAGAGAGAGAGAGAGAGAGAGAGAGAGAGAGAATGTTATAATTACATGTATATGTCTCAAATGTATTTTGTCTTTTTAAAGTGAAGTTGAAAGATTTATATTTTTCATAAAAAAAAAAACTTTATAAAAAAAAATCCCTCGTTTTCATGTCACTACCGAAACACAAAGAGTTATTATGTAGGCCACAAATGTTATTTTAGCCACGCCCCTGCACTGTAGAGCAGGAAGTGAGGCTGCATCCCTGTCCCTCATGGCCACATGGTGAGCAGTTAGATCACATTGTTTTGAAGTAAATGTGTCCCGAAGTCTGAAAATCAGTGTGGAACATTAGAAATTGTCACTGCTGAAACACAGATTTTCTGCAGTTAAGTAACTTTTTAATGTTTTAATGAAAAATATGATGATTTTATGTGTGAACAGCTGGTCATGTACTAGCTAGTATTTTTGAGTTCTGCTCAAAATGAGCGAAAGTTGTCACTACTGAAACATTTGGTAACATTTCGGTAGTGATAAAATGAAACAGTCAATCATTTGTTTAAATAAAATAAATATAATTAAGGTGTAGGGTCACTCAAAGCAGAAGGACTTTAGTCTACAGCCCAAAACAGTTACAAGTCCACATTGGCAGAATAATCCATATTGTGTGTGCATATATATATATATATATATATATATATATATATATATATATATATATACACATATATATTTATCACTGCTGTCAGAACAAAACCTCGTATCTCCATTTTTGTAATTTTTCAGTTTTTGGCATAATTTGAAAATGCCTGTTGTTCTTTATATTGTGCATAATTTTTATGGTCAATGGACCAAAACAAACAGCCCAAAATGACTTGAAAAGATGTCTGGTTCCACTGACTTACACTAAAAGTAAAGTATGTTTTTCCCTTCTCCTGTAAAGTTACCATTTTGGAGATACTAGGTTTTCTTCTGACAACAGTGATATATACCACAATGCCATTTTGATTAGAATTATGTAAGTATCTATAAGTCTAATCCCAAACCTAACCTTAATTTAAACTTCAACAACCAAAAGAAATGTATTTGTATCTTAACTTTTACAAAAATTGACTTTTTATAAAAAGTACTTTTCAAAGACAGGAGAACTGTGTTGCTGCTGCAGCACAGTCCTGTTTTTCTCTGGTTTTACTACAAAGTCAATCAATTTTGTTGTAAAAGTGTACAAACACACCCACCCACACACACACCCACCCACACACACACACACACCCACACACACACCCACCCACACACACACACACTTCCTGAGATCACCGCTGAAAAACACACTCAGAGAATGAATATAAGGAAATTACATTAAAGCCACACTAATGCGATGAAGAACGACTCCGACTGTCTTTCCTTGACAAAAGCGAGTCTATTAGAGAGATAATGGGAGCATAATGGAAGAAACATATACTCAATTAAGTGTTTTATTAGCGTCAGAAATGAGCGTCAGTGTGAAGGCAGCTCTAATGACTGTCTTTATTAAACCTCCACTTCACATTAGATGCATTAGATTCTATCAGTGAACATCTCTCCGAAAGTTGCTATAGGAAACAGGCTGTGATCTGATAGAGTTACAGCAAACAGCCCACAGTGTGGAGCATTTTAGGGTATTAATTTAATGAAAATTTAGATCATTGTTTTTAACGCTTTTGTTTTTTTTATGATGTTGTCACAAAATAACCACTTCACAGAGGGAGGGAGAGAGAGGGAGGGACTGAGGGAGGGAGGGATAGAGAGGGCAGGGGAGGGAGGGAGGGATAGAGAGGGCAGGGGAGGGAGGGAGGGATAGAGAGGGCAGGGGAGGGAGGGAGGGAGAGAGAGAGGGAGAAGGATAGAGAGGGCGGCGGAGGGAGGGAGGGACTGAGGGGGAAACTGAGGGAGGGAGAGAGAGGGCTGGGGGAGGGAGGGAGAGATAGAGAGGGCGGGGGAGGGAGGGAGGGATAGAGAGGGCGGGGTAGGGAGGGAGGGATAAGAGAGGGCTTGGGTGAGGGAGGGAGGGAGAGAGAGGGCAGGAGAGGGAGGGAGAGATAGAGAGGGCGGGGTAGGGAGGGAGAGATAGAGGAGGGAGGGGAGTAGGGAGGGAGGGAGGATAGAGAGGGCAGGGTAGGGAGGGGAGATAGAGAGAGGGAGGGAGAGATAGAGGAGGGGGAGGGAGGGAGGGAGAGATCGAGAGGGGGAGGGAGGGAGGGAGAGATAGAGAGGGCGGGGTAGGGAGGGAGAGATTGAGAGGGGGAGGGAGGGAGGGAGAGATAGAGAGGGGGAGGGAGGGAGGAAGGAAAGGAAAGATAGAGAAATGGAGAGAGAGAGAGAGAGAGGGGAGGCAGAGAGGGAGAGGCAGAGAGGGAGAGGCAGAGAGGGAGAGGCAGGGTGGGAAGGGGGGGAGGGAGGGATAGAGAAGGTGGGGTACGGAGGGAGAGATAGAGAGGGCGGGGTAGGTAGGGAGGGAGGGAGGAAGGAAAGGAGGAAGAGAGAAATGGAGAGAGAGAGAGAAAGAGAGAACAGGAAAAATGGATCAAAGCACAACTGTAACAGTAAATCAAAGCACACAAAGAGAAAAAAACGTCTGTTAGGACAAAAAACAACAAGTAAATGATGAAAGTGCTAATTTACTCCGCAGTCCAGACTCTCTGAAGCTGCTCATGTTTGGATTTTAAAATATTCATCAAAAACTCTCTGATTCCCACAATTAATTCTCTAATCAGACTTTCTACTGACAGAAACTCATTACAAACAGTGAGCGAGCAGAACAGACGAGAGGCCGACCAACACCAAAATCTACATTTATTTATCAACACCAACACCCATTAAAGAAACTCAGTTATTAGGGAATTCTGACTGTTCAAAAACATCTGCATAATACCACAATAACTAAGCAAACAGAGTCGTTCAGAGTCGTTCAGAGTGGTTTGGTGTGAAACGCTCTGTTCTAGAGAAACTTACCGAGTCAGAACTGTTCACAGTGGTGGTGATAGGAACCAGACGTCCACCTCTAAAAGCTCCCTCACTGAAAGTTACTACATGAAATGGTTATTAGTACGTTGTCTGATTACTGTTCTATAACAGCTCTACAACACCTTTTTGGCCTAAACTGTATTTTTAAAGTCTATTCATGGTGGGATACATGCATTATTTTCAGACTGACCACCACTTTAGCTTGGCCAACATATAAACTCAGAAGACTCGTGTAGGTTCACTGGTGGTTCTGGATAGTAAATAAAATGTCTATATCTGTGTTGTAGTCATGGCGACCCCTGGTTCCCATCACCACCACTGTAAAGACATCTGAACCATTTCACACCAAACAGCTCTGAATCTCTCTGATTACACGTCAGTGTTTGATTTACACAGACACTGTGAAATGATGTGCGTCTCTGTAGAGGATGTTTTTACTTATTTACACTTCGAAAGTCAACAAAACGGAATTTGTCAGGGGGTGTTCAAACTTTCGCATATGACTGTATATCGGCAGAGTGAACCTCAGCAGCCACGACACGTTCCGCAGGTCTTTCTCGCATGAGAGATGAAGGAGAGGGACGGAAAGTTGAAAGTTAGAGAGATGGAGAGACAGAGCGTTCTCCCTGCTGTCCTTCACGGATGAGTGGAGATTCGCTTTAATAGAAAATCCTCCATCCCTCTCGCTCCTCTTTCCTTTTCCACTGTCCTCCAGCTTCTATCACTGCATCGTTTCTATGCAGCTTTGGGTTTTCTTTACCAGCGTATCGTCGCAGAGAACACAACGCAAACGCTTCAGCCTCAATAGACAATAATATCCCAGCAGGCTTTGCTCAGTCGGTATGACCTCTCTGAGCGTGCACGCGCAAACACCCGCTCGACCACCCTCCTCAAGACAGAACGAGCCGAGATCAAAGTTAACACTGTAAAACAAAGACAAGAAGCTTTAATCCCAGCACAGAAGCACAAGCTCCTTTATTACGGATCGAGTCCATAGACAGATAATGTGTACTAATGCCAGAGATTAGTGAAAGTCCCCCATAGACAATAACAAACTGACTGTTCATCTGCAGACGCGTCTGGAGCCCCAGTAAAGCCCTCGGACAGACCGCAGGACAATCATAACACACGCTCAGATCTGTCATGCAGTGGGCAGCAAACGTTTTAATACAGCAAATGTTTTAATACAAATAAACATCTTTACCAGTTTGTAATAACTACAGCTGACCAAGTTGACACATGAACCCAATAGCTGCGTTCCAGAGCCGAGGTGGGCGGGTCCTCGGTAGGACTGTCCTATGAAGACTCCTCCTTAGTAGCCTATCGATCACACAAATGGATCAATCCTAACGAGGCTCCGTGTTGACGCCACCAGAGCGGCGCCAAACTCGTGAGGGAGCCGGTGAGAGAAAACGGAGCCGCTGCATTGAGTTTGTTGCTTTTATCATTTCTTCACAGAAGTGAAGGAGAAGATCTTACGTAGTTCGATAAACTACATACACAAATACTTCTAAATAAAATACGATATATGGACGATATACGATAAATGGACGAATACTTTAAATAATCAATCACTTTACACTTTATAAGGTGACGAAGACGAGTTCAAGGAAATTTACATAGAATAGAATTTACATTTGAAATCAAGCTCTGCTCCAACGGCTTCATTTTCATGGTGCTGTTTTTTTTTCTCCTTTGCATCGTTCGTGCGCAGAGAACTGTGGGTAACCGAGGGCCTGGAAGAATCCATCTGATGCGTCACAATCACTCGGCACGTAGGCTGCATTTCTAGGCTGTATATGAAGGGTCCTTCACTTTGGAACGGGCTTCTATGACGAAGCAGCCGAGAAACGCAGCCCAGGCTTTGGGAACACAGCTAATTTATTAAACTCCACTAATTCTTTACAGAGTAACTCCACCCCCTACTTTCAGCGAACTCCACCCCTGGCTCAGCTTTGAGAAATGCGCAAAAATGGGAGGGGCACACTGGGAGGGGCCCTG